TTTGTCTCTTGAGCAGAATAAATCATAGAACATTTTTACTTTCTTTCTCCATTTAAATTTTTTGCATTTTTCTATCTTTCTAACAATATGTATGTCAGTGACTTGCTCAGGAACTTTGTGGACATCGATCGTTAGAATTGTTCTGGTCTATCTATCTATCTATCTCTTCTATCTATCTCATCTATCTATCTATCTATCTATCTATCTATCTGTGTATGTGCTAATAATCCAAAATCATAAATATATCTATATATAATAAATGCTACCTCCTATTTGCAGGTGTAAGTAGTAGGGATATCATTTCACACTATTCATATCTATCTATCTATCTATCTATCTATCTATCTATCTATCTATCTATCAGGTCGGATTCTGAATGCTGATCTTTAAAGATGTTACTACCCAAAAGTTATGCAGTCTTCTATACCAACAGATATCTATCTATCTATCTATCTATCTATCTATCTATCTATCTATTTCTATGTCATCTATCTATTTCTATGTGTGTTGTCTGTGTCTGTATCTATTTCTATATCAACATTGTCTGTATCTAAAACATTGGATCTATTTCTATAAACATTATCTTTCTATTTCACACACACACACACACACACATTGTCTGTATCTATTTCTCTCACAACATTGCCTGTATCTATTTCTATGTCATTTCTATGTCACATTGTCTGTACATTTCATACACACTATTTCATACATCCTATTTCTATATATATATATATATATATATATATATATATATATATATATTTCTATGTTTGCAAAGGTCTGATCTATTTCTATGTCAACATTGTCTGTATCTATTTCTATGTCATCAGAAATATATCATTGTCTGTATCTATTTCTATGTCAACATTTTGTATCTGTCAACATTGTCTGTATCTATTTCTATATCAGAATCAATCTATTTCATTGAATAGTGACTGTCTGTTTCTATGTCAACATTGCCTCAATGTTGTTTTGAGTATCTATTTCTATGTCAACATTGTGCTATTTCACAACATAGTCTTTTTCTATGCAGGCCTATCTCTTTCTATATATTGCCTGTATCTATTTCTATACAACCCTACTGAAGGTATCTATTTCTATGTCATTGATCTATTTCTTGATCTGAAGATCAACATTGATCTATTTCTATGAAATTGGTAGTCACCATTGTCTGTATCTATTTCTATGTCAACATTGTGATTTCTATGTCAACATTGTCTATGTATCTATTTCTATGTCAACATTGTCTGTATCTATTTCTATTCAACATTGTCATCTATTTCTATGTCAACATTGTCTGTATCTATTTCTATGTCAACATTGTCTGTATCTATTTCTATGTCAACATTGTCTGTATCTATTTCTATGTCATTGTCTGTATCTATTTCTATGTCAACATTGTCTATCTATTTCATGTCACATTGTCTGTATCTATTTCTATGTCAACATTGTCTGTATCTATTTCTATGTCAACATTGTCTGTATCTATTTCTATGTCAACATTGTTTCTGTATTTTTATTTCTATGTCAACATTGTTCTATTTCTATGTCAACATTGTGTATCTATTTCTATTTGTCTGTATCTATTTCTATGTCAACATTGTCTGTATCTATTTCTATGTCTTGTCTGTATTTTTCTATGTCAACATTGTCTGTATCTATTTCTATGTCAACATTGTCTGTATCTATTTCTATGTCAACATTGTCTGTATCTATTTCTATATCTATGTCAACATTGTCTGTATCTATTTCTATGTCAACATTGTCTGTATCTATTTCTGTATCTATTTCTATGTCAACATTGTCTGTATCTATTTCTATGTCAACATTGTTGTCTGTATCTATTTCTATGTCAACATTTCTATGTCAACATTGTCTGTATCTATTTCTATGTCAACATTGTCTGTATCTATTTCTATGTCAACATTGTCTGTATCTATTTCTATGTCAACATTGTCTGTATCTGTATCTGTATTTTTCTATGTCAACATTGTCTGTATCTATTTCTATGTCAACATTGTCTGTATCTATTTCTATATCTGTATCTATTTCTATGTCAACATTGTCTGTATCTATTTCTATGTCAACATTGTCTGTATCTATTTCTATGTCAACATTGTCTGTATCTATTTCTATGTCAACATTGTCTGTATCTATTTCTATGTCAACATTGTCTGTATCTATTTCTATGTCAACATTGTCTGTATCTATTTCTATGTCAACATTGTCTGTATCTATTTCTATGTCAACATTGTCTGTATCTATTTCTATGTCAACATTGTCTGTATCTATTTCTATGTCAACATTGTCTGTATCTATTTCTATTTCTATGTCAACATTGTCTGTATCTATTTCTATGTCAACATTGTCTGTATCTATTTCTATGTCAACATTGTCTGTATCTATTTCTATGTCAACATTGTCTGTATCTATTTCCTCAGTGAGGAAATCAATATTAACATGTGTTATCCAAAGTTATGTTTTGATTTTTGCATAGAGGAAAATACAATGAAGAAATATTCGATTTGGGTTAATGGATTTTAAGACTTATAGAATTAATATCGATTTCACTTTTGTTTTAAATATTATTAGTTAGTCTACAGGTAAATAGTTTCACTTCGACTTAGTAAATATAGATTGTTTATACTTGAGTCTATAGGTATATATGGTTATTTTACAAGAATGAACAGATTTCATTACGCAATATTTTAATAAGGAAAAGCAGAAGAAAACTCCAGTCAAGTCAAAAGTATCCAACTCACAATCAACTTTTATTTTCGTTCTTACAAGAGTTCAATGTGGCCACCACCTGCAGTACAGGCAACATCAATGAGATAAGAGAATTCCTCAAGACGCGTATCAGCAGATCACGATCCACTGAGTTGATCGCTGTAGTTATTCGATATTTAAGGTCATCGAGGTTAGTGGGCAGTGGTTAAACTTGAAAGTGATCTTTTCCGAATACCCACAAGAAAAAATCACACACTGACATCTGGGGATCTCGCAGGCAAAGCACAAAGAGCAAGGTCTTGGTAAGTACCTGAACGAGGCGTAGTCTGTAAGGTCTCAAATGTAGACGTTTTCTTAGCACGCAACAAATAGTAGATTGATGGATTGCAAGCTCACGGCTAGCTCGATTTGTGGACTTCAGTAGACGCCCTTCAAGCGCAGCACGGATTATCGCCATATATATGGATCTTTCTCTCTCTTTCTATATATATATGAATCTTTATATATATATATATATATATATATATATATATATGAATCTTTATATATATATATATATATATATATATATATATATATGAATCTATGTACATATATATGACTATATATATATATATATATTTATATTTGAATCTCTCTATATATATATATGAATCTACTGTTAAATATGATTATATATATATATATATATATATATATATATATATATGTAAATATAAATATATATATATGTGAAAAGTGTATATAAATATAAATAAATATATATATGTATAATTATTTATATATTATATGCGGGTACTTATTAGAAAGCGCACAATATCAGAGATAGAGCTAACATACTCACATCTATCCAACCAAATATTTATATGTATATATATATATATATATATATATATATATATATATATTTTTGAATCTATCAACCAAATATATATATACTTGAATTTATATATATATATATATATATATATATATATATATATATATATATATATATATATATATATATATATATATATATATGAATCTACTGTTAAATATTTGTCGTTTATATTTGAATTTATTTAAAAATATTTAAATCTTGAATCTATAGGTAAATGTATGTGGTATATAATTGTGTATGTAATCATATACAAAAATAGGCGGGCTGTCATATTTGAAATTGCAGATCAGAACAGAAAAAAGTCACTTTTTATTATCTTTTCAAAGGCTGAATAATACATGGGGAAACAGCAGATTCTAATACTGTGTTTTTCAGCCTTTTTTTTTTTTTTTTTTTTACTTCAGGGCGTAATTGTAGAATAACTAAAATTCTGTGGGTACACCTTAAATTTTATTAAGAAAAAATGAAATATGAAAATAGGAAACTAATAAATAGCAATAATAATTATCCAATGATAATTATTCAATAATAATTATCCAGTTCTTTAACAAGATTAAGGAATTTAGCATCCGGTTTAAAATATTAAATTACAAAGACTAGAACGAGACATGGAAGCTATATGCTTTGTGTCTCTGGCTTTTTAAAAATAAATGATTTTTTAAAATAATAAAAAAAAATTAATTAATTACTCTTCTGTTAACTTGGGTCACACCTGTTTACATTTCTGGGTGCATTAATACCCCCGTGTTAACCGGTCGAGGAATACTGGACTCTCCCTCTCTCTCTCTTTCCCTCTCTCTCTCTCACACACACACACACACACACACACACACACACACACACACACACACACACACACACACACACACACATAAAAACGCAAACACACACAGAGAATACACCCCCTTATATATATATATATATAAAATATATGTATATATATATATATATATATATATGTATTTGAGCAGCAATCCCTCTTTTATTCAAGCTTCATTGTCAGTCATCTTCAATGAAACCTGTATATATAGAGAATGAGCGAGAGTGTAAGATAGAGAGTACGTGTGTGTGTTTGTGTGTGTGTGAGAGAGAGAGAGAGAGAGAGAGTGCGATAGAGAGTGAGTGAGTGTTATAGAGACAGAGAGAGACTGAGTAGTGGATATCATTTCACTATTCAATTTTTGTCATGTCTAATTTTAATCAGCATTCTACCGTTTTTTTTTTCTTCACTTGCCCAGAGTAGAAAAAGTGAAAAAGAAAAAAAAAAAAAATATGTCGTCACTTTCCTCCACGTCAATTGCCAGAATTCAGAACAGCTTCTCTCATCGTCATCTTCGTGTTGCCTTTCGGACAGACAACTTAACGGACAGACGAATCAGAAGGTAGTCGGATTATCTTAAGCGAAGCTAACGCAACGTACAATCTGTCCAACCAGGCAACCAGTACCGCCAGCCCCACCTCTGAGACATCGTCTCATTAACTCACTCCACGTGAGTCAGCTCCTGTATCGTCTAATTCCAAGCAGCTCAGGGTAATATACACACCGGGACAGTAAATGTCACCTCCTATCGAACGTTTCATCCGAGACACTGAATGTAATTATACATTTTAATATATGGTTTTCTCCTCCTCTTCTTTCGCCTTTTTAACCCAACCCATGCACGACATACTCCCATCTTTCTCTGTTTCACAAGGCCTTAACCTCCCCCCACTCTATCGGCCCCTCACTAATTGCAATCCAAACCCCAGCTATCTGTTTCCCTACCTGCGACCCCGGCAGATATATCCATTCCATCTTTACACAATTTTTCACCATGTTTTCGTCTTCGTTCTTGGTTTCTTTCGACCTTCTTATGATTTTTCTTTTTCTTTCTGTTTCTATAATTTTTTTTTTGCTAGCTCTTCATACGAATGAATGCATCTTATTTTTTGTCAGAGGGAATAAAGGAAAATGTCTGGATATCTTCATTACTATGAATATTTATTTGATTGATAACAGTGAATTGTGTACCTTTCTTTCTTTACGATTATCATTCAATCTTTCTTTCTTTACGATTATCATTCAGTCTTTCTTTGTCATTTCATTCGTCTCCATTCTCATTGACCCGAATTCCTCCTTGACCAAAATAAATAGCAAAAGCAGCCACTTTCATTTTGGTGCATATTTCTTGTGTACTGGTCACCGTGAAGGTTTGCCAGTACTACTCAAATAAAACTTCAACTCGTAAGAAATACGGAACATGTTTTTGGAAAATAAATTTCATTCAGTTTTCATTAGATTTTCTCAGTTGGAGTAGATAGTATCTGTCTATATTTCTGAGATGAGGTATTATGTACACTATTTACATTATTCGGACTATTGTCTTCATCTTTGTCGACATATTTAATACAACGTTTCGGCCGTTGTACGCTCCGGCCTTCTTCAGGTGGTTGGAATGTCCAAATGAACCCTTTATTTCGCTCACTGAGGTAGACTGTTCTAGTTCCACGTGCCATGTTTAATGGATGTCAGGTATCAGATATCTCCTGTTAAATTTCCTCTGAAAGTTCTCCACTGCCTTAACCGGGAATTGAACTCACACTCCTTGGATTCTGTTACTGGATCTAACTTACGCCTTTATCCACTGTGCTATTTGTCCTTGAGGAAGAAGGACGGGGCGTACAACGGGCGAAACGTTGTAATAAATATGACGTCAAAGATGAGGACAATAGTCCGAATAATGTAAATAGGAGTAGATAGGTTCGTCAATATCCCGGTTCGCACTCTTTCGCTGTTTTTTTTAACAGAAGTAACACCATGGCCGCATTACGTTGAAAAAACCGTTTCCCGTACGATTACCGAACTAAGATCAAGCTAGGCCAGTACCAAGATGGGTAACTGCTTGGGAATACCAGATGCTGTAAACTTGGATGTGCGGGTGGTGTAATGCATAATAATGGTTTGGAATTTTTAATCGGAGAGTCGAGTTTCCGATTCCAATTGGTCTCTTGATATTCACTCATGTGCAAAAAACCATTGGGAAAGGTAAGAATCCACGCCGTCTCCCTCAGCTATGAGTTAATTAGTGAGACTTGTATCACTAAATCATTATTATCTCCTAAAAATATTTACAATCTAAAAAATATTTTCTGGCTTTGAATAACCTGAAAAGGGTTGATAAGCCGTAGAAAACGAAGCAATCAATCAATGATGAACAGGAGTAGAAGTTTGTCGCTTGTTTCCTGTTTAGGATTGGGTTTCTGGTTCCTTTTCCTAATGTCTTCTCATTCTGTTCCACTCTCACAAACCCCCTTGCGTCTTAGAGGCATTATCGCCTTATTTGGGATAAAATGATTAAAAAGGTGATGACATTTGTTTGAACCGAAAAATATTGATTTTATCATTTTAGAAGCAGTGGCGATGTTTATAATATCGATATAGCGTAAAATCAATTCCTGATTTTTAAAGAGTTATCTTGACTTTTTTATTTACAAATGTCAAATTTGAAACTGTCATTACGTCATTGAATATATCTTTTATTTAATCATTTAAATATAATAACTGTATTGTTTTAATATGCAATCATTTACAGAATTTATAATAACAGTATAAATTTTAATAAAATTTCTATGATAATTATGACCAGTCCAAATTTTATTTGTATAGAAAGCAGCTTTTTCGAAAATTGTACAAACAGAATTTTAAAATCAAATAGAAAGAGAAAGAAATTAATTCTTTTTGGCAATATATATATATATATATATATAATTTCTCTTCCTATTAAATTTTTCATATATATATGTATGTATATATATATATCTATATATATTTACATAACATATATATATATATATATATATATATATATATATATATATATATATATATATGTGTGTGTGTGTTT